GGGGAATGCATAACTCGGCACCTTAAGTTAATGTGAAGGCAGCACTGGCCAAGCCAAAGGAGTTGGCGGCTGGGCTGGGCTGTGGGTTGAGCTGGGGGGTGGTGGAGGGCAGCAGTAATTAACCAGCTAGTGCCAGGGTGGTCTGGGAGGTTCCTGGTGAGGGTCTGGTGTGGGGATGAAGCAGGTCGTGGCTCTGTGTTTGGGACTTGCTGGTCCTGGTCTTTCTCAAAAGCCGAATCTCAAGGACCACAGTCAGGGAGAGGCTCTGCACCTCCTGCTGGGGTGCAATGGTCCCTGTGGGATCATGGGCAGCTGCCCTGTGAGTGTGGGGCACTTGGTGCTTCCCCTGGAGCCCCAGAGGGACTGTCCTGCTGCCCTGTGCCCCTTTGCCAGACCTGTCTGTGTGTCCACAGGTCAGGCAGTGCCAGTTTGCTGCTTCCATGTGTTCCTGCCAGCTGCCATGTGCCTGGCTCCCTGCTTTTTTTAAAGGGAAGTCTCAGCTGTGGGCTGTTTCCTGCAGCATCATCCATAGAGCAGCCTGCCCGATTTTGTCTGAAATTTCTACACCAATTTGCATCCCAGCTGAGATCAGGAGTGGGTGTTGGGATTTGAGGGAGTTTGGGAGCATGGGACCCTACCCTTCCACCTGCTCTACTCCTTGTGCAGCACAATGTGGCTGCTTTGGCAGCTGTTTTGGGGCTGCTTACACTTGTTTCTTGTTTGCCAGGTAAATCCAGTAGTGCCAAATCCTGTGTGAGGCTGGAGGGCAGTGAGCACCCTGCTGTGGCCCCTCTAGCCATGTATGTATGGTGCAGGAGATGCTGTGAGGTGTGTGGAGCTCCTTTCCCTGGGAAAAGAAGATCTGGGGTGTTGTGAGATGCTCAGGACAGAGCTGGGTGTGGGGGCACAGTGTCCATGTCAGGCTCTGGTTGGGACCCTATGGCTAACACAGCTCTCCTGGGCACCAGGGACTGGGCCCCAGTGTTGGGATGTGGAAGAGAGGGCAGGATTTGGTCCTGATGGCTTCATGATGTGGTGGCAATTGTCACTGCCAGCTGGGAGAGAGCTTCAACTGGAAACTGTGTGGGGACATGGGTGGCTGTGAGTGGCAGGAGGGACATGATTCCCATCCTGGGGCTGCCAGCACATCCCTGCATCTGCATCTGCTCATCTTGGGGGGTTCCCACTGGGTCCTTGTCACCCCAAACCATGCACCCCTTCCCCTTGGGTATGGGAGCCCCATCCTCACGCCCCATTTTTACCTCCCCATCCCCAGCTCCACCATCCAGCTGGGAGGCATAAATCACCTCTGGAGCCAGCCTTGGAGCTGGCGTGAGAACCCTCTCAGCTGTTTGGATCCCTTTGAGTTCAAAACCTCCTCTTTGGTAATGACAGGCAGAAATAACCCCTCGCTTGGCACCCGAGCAGCAGTTTGTGGTGTTTGTTGGGGTCTGGTGGTGAAGAGGAAGCTGTCACCCATGCCCTGCCTACAAGTGTGTTTGTGTCAGGTGAACCAAGGGGCTCAAAAACCTGCTCTTTTGAACCAGATTAATAGCATTAGGCTTTGTCAATGCAAAAATTACCTCATCATTGGCACTGGCAGGTGGTGGAGAGCAGCAGACTTATTCAATATTTAAGAAAGCTGCATTGCAGAGCTGAGGAGGCTGGAGAAATAGGTTGCCTGTGTCAGTATCTTTGCTGGTGGAGACAATCTCTGCAGGCACCGCTGAGTGTGAAACACTGAGCTCGCTGTAAAACCTGATTGTTGCCCTGAGAGGCTTTCAGATACTGAATTGGCTTTAAAATAATGTTTGGTGGGGTTTTTTTTGTTTGTTTGGTTGGGTTTTTTTACCCTGGTATGTTACTTCCAGACAGTTGAAATGGTGTGTTTGGGCAGCCCTGTCACAGACGCTGTGCAAGACGCCTGGTTGGTGGTGGCACCTGCTGCCCCATGTCCCTCCTGGTGTCCCTGGGGTGGGATGGGCTTTTGCTGTGGGGCTCCTGCTGCCTTTCCCTGCCTGCTCAGGATGCTGGAGGACCAGAGGGACCTGCTGGTTCCTGGCACTGCATCTGGCAGATTTTGGGTGCTGGCAGCAGGCCTGTGAATTGGCACCTCTTGGCTTGGAGTGGGACACCAGGGCCGGCTCGGGGAGAGGCCGAGTGATTCCCAGAAGATGTTAAATCCTTTTTTTTTTTACTAAGGCATGATCAAATTCATGGGCTCTGTCACACAGAAGTAACAGAGCAGCATGATTAGAGTCATGTGGCTCTTCCTTAAGGCCAGAAATTAAGACCTCGCTTCTATTCCTGGCTCTGCCCAGGCTCTGCCTGCCTTGGCGCCAGCGGGAGCTGCTGCCTCGCTCCTCCAGACCTCCACCTGAAATTGGGGAACACTGAGCATCTGGGGACAAGAGGGACATAAAGGATTTGATCCTGGGACCCTTTGGGGACAGCCAAACCCTGGGATGTTTCCATTTCATTAAGTAACTGCTGCTGCATCCCATCGATCACGGCTTGGTTTGCCGCGTCCTCTGCTCGGGAGCGTGGATTTGGCAGGGGGGAAAAAAGCTAGTGTAAGCTGTTATTTTGTTCTTTACCGTGTGCTAAAAATGCAGAACCAGGCATTAGGGCAAGCAAGAGTAGTTGCTGGAAGTAATGCAAAGTGGATCTTCAGAATCTATTATTCATAGGTGGAGGGGAGGCTGGTGAATCCCTCCAGGAGCCGCCCCCGGGCTCCGCTCCATCCGCAGCAGAGCGAAACGCTGGCGGCCTCTATTCTTAGCAGAAAGTTCTAGCTGGGGGAAGTTTTCCTCCCTGCCAGTGGTGTCAGTCATCACTCTACCCTCTTCTCCAGGAAAACATGGATTTTTTTCCCCTGTTCTGTGTGGGGCAGGGACAGCTGCTCTTGCTTGGGCAAGTTCCATCTCCATTTGTGGCTCCCCAGAAGTGGGTGCTGGCAGCTCAGCACTGCCCTCCCCGGGCACCCTATTCAATCCATATCCATCCTGGTGAGACCCTCTTTTCCTAGCTGGGCCCTGCATCCCAGCAGGAGTTTGCTGCTGCAGTGCAGACTGTGGATCTGTAAATGAGCAATTTGCTTATTTAATTGACCTTGTCAATCAGAGCCTTCTGGCTTGGCACAGGAGCAGGCACTGCCTGAAACCAGCAGAACACTAATTACCCCATGTGCTTCACTTCATATATATATATGTGTATTTGTATTTTTGGAAGTTATCAGGTGAACCTTCAGTCTCTGCTGACTTGTCAGGGATGATGGAGAAGCCCCTGCAACATTGCAGAGCAGACAGTGGAGGATGGGAATTATTATTTTTTTTTGCCCCTGCTTGGGAATGTTGCCTGGTCTTTTGTGGCTCAGAGTCTGATTTCAGCTTTCCTTTGCCATCCTTTCCTCAGGACAACCTCCTGTCAGAGTTTTGCTGGGAGCTGGAGTAGCTTTGTGTGCTGTAAAGGTGTATTGGCTGGATTTTGGCTGAGCTCTGGTCCTGCTGGGACCTGTTGGCAGCTCCAGGACACTGACTCTGGGTGCTGGGACCTTCCCTTCCAGCTGGGAGGAATCCAGGGCAGCATCCTCCCAAGGCAGAGGTTTGGCAGGATGATGGTCTGGGATCTGCAGAGGGTTTTGAGCTTTTATGTTTTTGTTTAGGTTTTTTTGGTTTTGTTTTGTGTTTGTTTTAAGTTCTGCTGCAGGAAGTAATTTGAATGCAGGTGCAGTGGGTGCCTCCCCCAGTCCCTGCTTCACAGAGGAGACAAACAGGGTCAAAAACCTGCAGATGGGAACTAGTTGAGCTCACAAACATCACCCGTGAGGAAGGGTTGTTCTGTACCCTCTTCTGTGCTGTGGGGTCTCTGTGCTGCTGCACAGCCAGCCCCCCTGGGCCGGGTTGTCCCTTTGTTGTGGTTCCTGTGGAGATGAGCAGACAGAATATCATCTTTGAGTCCTTTGCCACCTCCTCCCCCAGCACCTCCCCAGGTTCCATTTTGTGATAAGTTTATTAAACAAAAAAGGAGGAATTTAGTTCCAGAGGGGATGTAGCCTGGGAAGGACAGTGAGACGTGCTGTGTTTTGGGGGGAAGCTCCTAGTTTGTAGATTGGTTTTTTTTCCTCTAAAGCAGAAACATCCTCTTCCATCCCAGCTCTGGAGCCTCATAATCACCACGAGCTCAGCAATCTCATTAATTACACCCATGCTGTGTGTGGCTCTGTCACCCTCCTGGGAGGGTGGCAGTTGTAGGCTCAGATGTCTCATCCATGACAGCAACTCAAGTGACGTTCCCGTTCCTCCTGCTGCCAGAAATAAAGGACCTACCCGGTGTAATTTGGTGGGATTTGTGTGGGTTTTTTTTCCCCCTACAGCCTCACTGGAAGCCCCAGGTGACCTGGCTGAGAGCAGGGGCAGGCTGAGCGACGTGCCCGGGGTGTGGTTGGCAGAGGAGCCCAATGACTGACGCGGTGGTCGGTGGCAGCTCGGACCGGTGGATGTGCCCTGGTGACAGGACCATGTCTCTCCGGGCTGGGTGAGAGATCCTGCAGGATGGATGGAGGGAGGGGGGTGTCCCTGGGGGAGGCAGGTGATGCAGGCGCCCTGAGTCGTCCTCAGGGGACACTGGGGTGTGAGTTTGCCCTGGCTGGATGGGGACATAGGAAAGGGCTGGAGCTCCTCTCCTGTGAAGACAGGCTGAAAGAGATGGGGCCATTCAGAAGAGAAGGCTCCAGGGAGACCTCCTCCCCCTGCAGGGGAGCAGGGACTTATTCCAAGGGCAGGGAGTGGTCAGACACAGGGTAATGGCTTTTGGAAGGGGGGAAGATCTAAGTTAGACATGAGGAAGAAATTCTTCCCTGTGAGGGTGGCGAGAGCCTGGCCCAGGTTGCCCAGGGAAGCTGTGGCTGCCCCATCCCTGGCAGTGTTCAAGGACAGGTCAGATGGGGCTTGGAGCAGCCTGGGCTGGTGGGAGGTGTCCTTGCCCAGTTGGGACTGGATGATATTTGAGGTCCCTTCCAAACCACTCCACGATTCTACAATTTTGCAGTGTTGTCCCCTGGGGAAGGGTGCACACACCCCAGGGCCAACTGGGAGACCCATCCACCTGTCCAACCGCTGTGAGGGTCTCCCTCCCCAGCTGGATGGGTGCTGGCAGCACCCGTGGATGGTTACTGCCTTTGGGTGGCCAGGATCCATGGACAGTGACTGTCACCCTTGAGGAGGGGAGAGTGCTGAGCTGTCCTTGTCCCTTCCCTTCCCAAATC